TCCAAGAACATGTCGTAACCTCTCATTTGCGTCCATCCTGGGTAATTGTGCCATTGCTGTGTGGAAATTCCACTTTTTCCCCTATGTAAAAAGGTTGTAATTACATTATGAGGCGTCCTGTGAACAGGTAATGGGATAGCATGCCGTGTGTGAATAGCACAATGTAATATCCCTGGCCCCTGAGCAAAGGAGTGATTGGATATTTACAGATACAAATCAGCTATATACTTATTTAATGAACAGAAAGCAGCTGCTGTTTTGCTGCAGCCCAAAAGCAAACATTAGCACAATAAATGGCACATCATTTATGTTCTGCTCAGTTTTACATCTCCTCTGAGTAATCTGAAATGCAGCCAGCCACTGCCTCCTTTCTGTTAAAACACATTGTATTGCAATTGTTGAATAACAGCAAGAGGTCAAATTTCCTAAAATAAAGTGTTGAAGGAAAAGAAAACACACAGTCATCTCTTGCATTCGTTCAGTCATTCTAATTTCCCGTAATATTTATGTTCATCTTTGCTCTTTTCTTTCAGTTGCTATTTGCTTGAACAAAGAATTGCAAAAGGGGGATATTCCAAAGGGAAAGAAATGGGTGGAAGCATTCCTTTCCTGCCCTTCACAACCTGATTCCATCTGTTATATTTCGTAGAACTCCCACAAACATACTAGGCAAGGATAGGATGGGAATTTCAGCCTATCTCGTTGAGAGCTATCAGAGACTGGATTAAAGATCACTCTTTCTAAGAAGTGATGAGAGGTTATGGAAAGAAAGGGAAGAAAGAGATGTGAGATATATATATGTGTGTGTTTGTGTATGTATGTATGTATATATATATATATATAGAGAGAGAGAGAGAGAGAGAGAGAGAGAGAGAGAGTGTAAAAAGGTAAAGGTTTTACCCTGACATTAAGTCCAGTCATGTCCGACTCTGGGGTGTGGTGCTCCTCTCCATTTTTAAGCCGAAGAGCCGGCGTTGTCCGTAGACACCTCCAAGGTCATGTGGCCAGCATGACTGCATGGAGCACTGTTACCTTCCCGCTGAAGCAGTACCCATTGATCTACTCACATATGCATGTTTTTGAACTGCTAGGTTGGCAGAAGCTGGAGCTTAGAAATGGAGATGAGCACCACCCCCGAAAGTCGGACATGTCCAGACTTAATGTCAGGGGAAACCTTTACCTATAGTACTCAGAATGACCCATGAATATGCTGACCCACACAAGTGAGAGTGCACCTTCTTTGCTGTGGAATGAATGCATTTTGAATGCCATGGCTCAATACTATGGAATCCCAGGGACTGTACGTTCCATAGCATTGAGCCATGCATTCAGTGTCCAACTGCATTATTTCTACAGTGTAGAACAGGCCTGAGCAATCTTGGTCTCTCCAGGTGCTTTGGACTTCAACTCCCACCATTCCCAACATCCTCAGGCCCCTTCCTTTCCCCCCTCAGCCACTTAAGTTTGCCCATTCCTGGTGTAGAAGGATGCACCCTAAGAGCTTATTCCTGGCATTGGCAGCCAAACCACACCAAGGGTACATCTACATTGTAGAATTAACACAGTTTGTAGAATTAATGCACTGCTTTGCAATGGAATTTACAGTTTTACAAGGTCTCGAGGCTTCTCTGGCAAAGAGGGGCTGGTTCCTCACCAAACTACAGATCCCAGGATTCCATTGCAGCGAGCCAAGGCAATTGAAGTGGTGTCAAACTGCATCAATGCTACAGTATCGACTACACTTACATCTATATAAATAAAAATGTAATGTTTGTTTGTTTGTGGGATTGAAATAACTCAAAGACCACTGGATGAATTGACACCAAGACACCTAGCAGGCCAACGAGTGACCATGACTATCACTCATAAAAACACTGAAAAATACAGAAGGGACTTAAAAAGCCAACAAACTTTTTACATTACAACGCATGTGCAAAACCACATATATATACACAAACACATATATACACACACATATGCATACACACAAAACACATACACAGAAAGGGGGAAGGAAGGAAGGAAAGAAGGAGGAGGAGAAGTAGGGAAAGAAGGAGGGAAGGAGAGAAGGAAGGAAAGAAGGATAGAGAAGGAAGGAGAAAGAGGGAAGAAGGGAAAGAGAGAGAAGGAAAAAAGAAGGGAAT